GCAGGCTCAGCTGCAACAGGAGCGGCTGCTGCAGGCTCAGCTGCAACAGGAGCAGCTGCAACAGGAGAGGCTGCCGCAGGCTCAGCTGCAACAGGTGGGGCAACAGGTGCTGCATAAATCCTCGAAGGAGGGACAAAGGGAAGAACCCCAGGAGGATGGCGAGGAAGGAAAGGATTGGTTAATCCAGTAGCTGAAGGAGAGCCAGGGATGTTGTAGATATAGGGTCCTCCAGGAGCAGTGAGAATCCAGGGATAGGGAGGTAATCCTTTTGCAGAGCCAGGATGCCCAGGGTAATTGGGGATTGTATTCATCCGTGCATAGTAAAGACGAGGTTGCGAATTCCTTGGGCCATAAGGAATATTCAGAGATGGATTAGGTGGGTAATAATGGCCACTGTAATCCTAAAGGAAAAGCGAAGAAGTCAATTAAAGTTGATTGTTTATCCTACCTATATATTACTCATGACTATGATGACATAGGATAAGTAATGATCTATTCTAATGAATTCCAAATCAATCTCTTTAATGCCAATGAATTTATATAATTTTCGAAATAGAAAGTAATAATTTCTTAAGAAAATTGAACCCCAACTGAAGGAGAAATATTGACTGCAGAATATGCCAGCCCAGGCCAGGAGAAAAATAGAAGAGAAGCACATGCTGGTACTTCTAGGATCCACACCTCATTCTCTGCACCCCACCACTGCGCTGCTCACTGCCCCGAGTGCCCTCTGGGTCTTTAAAGTGCCCCACTGAAAATTTCACTTCCTTATACCTCTTCCAAGTGCCTCATGTTCCAGATTTGTCCTGAACTCCCCACACTTCATCAAAGAAGCTTCCATTCCTTCAAGGCCATGCACCTCAAATTGTTATTAAGAGGGTGAGCAGACTGGATACAGAATGGCCGACTATTGGCTTTTCATCTTTAATTTTTCCTATGATGTTCATGTTTTAAATGAGTAGCTTATTAACATTACTCATGGGTTTATTATCAGATTTCAAATGATTTTTTTGGTAGGAGCTCCATGTTTTTCTCCTGTTGCTCTCGGCTTATCTTTTCCATGTGTGTAAGACTATCAGGGAGCCCGAAATCCACAAAATTATGTACGAATTTACAGAAGATTGTGATATTTTTGAGTCTTCCATAGATAAAGTTTTATTTCTGATCATAAATTTGTCAGTTTTCATGAGCAGGCCACTTGTGGTTTGCGTATCAGGATCCTGAATTCTTTGATTTGTTGCATAGCTCAATTATAATTAAAG